TCTGTTGCAAGTAGCTCAGGTCTTTCTCACTTTCAGCAAGCAAGGTTGTGTCACCAGCATAACGCAGGTTGATAATGAGTCTTCCTCCAATCCTGATGCTACATTCTTTTTCATAAAGTCCAACTTCTCAAATGACTTCCTCAGCAGATCGAATACAAATGGAGAAAGACTACAACTCTGGCACATACAACAGCTTCTTGGTCTGGGTATAGATTTCGTATAAGCATAATTAAGTGTTCCAGGTTCCCCATTCTCTTCAGAGTTAGCCATAGTTCACTATGATCCACAAAGGTGACAAAATTTACCAAAGTTATTTCCATAGTCTTCTGACAGGTTTTAGAATTCCATGTCTCATAGAGTGACTGAGACATTTTCTTTCTTGTTAACTCTGTAGAGGAAGCATTATCATCACTGACCAGACGTTCACAAAGATATGCATTCACCCAGGAGTCTGCCAAAGGCTTGCATATAGATGGTCTCTTTTTCCCCAAAAGCAAACAGAACAGGTTAACATGTGACAATTATCAGGATTCTTTGAGGATTCCAGATTTCCATTTATCTTCTTCTTTAAGCCTTGGAATGGTTGTGATGTGTTGAAACCTTGTTTATTCACAGTGTCATTTAAATGTGTCTTGGTGTTTCCATTTCATTAAGTTCTATCCTAAGCAGATTTTTGTAACCATCACTCTTCTCCTTTGTGTTATCCACGGCATAAACTTAAAACGTCTGTATTATCCACTACTTCAGGTGAGTGATTACCACAAAATAGTTTTCTAAATCTTTCTACATTGAATTGCATTATCCATAACTAAGATTTTTCTTCTTTTCCTTTAACTACTACTCCATTCTTCAAAAAAGTTCCTGATAAAGGTTCACAGACGCTAACTAACACAATATTGTGGCAAAAACACCACAACTTTTGACAAAATCGGCAACTCTAAAAACACAAGCAGCCATGGAAACAATATTGTGTGCTGGTAACATATGCAGAATTCGAACGATCTGGAGTCTTTGTAATTGGATAGTAATGACAGCTCTAAGAGAGCGCATTGTTGTTGTTGTTGTTGTTATGTGCCGTCGAGTCGCCTGCGACTCATAGCGACCCTGTGTACAACAGCCCTAAACTCCGCTCTGTCCTGTGCCAATCGCACTGTCTCCGACACTCCCATCCCAATTATCCCAATCACTGAATCAATCCACCTCATAGAGGGCCTTCCTCTCCTGCGCCGTCCCTCCACCCTCCCAAGCATGATGTCCCTCTCCAAGGACTGGTCTCTCCTCACTACATGTCCAAAGTAAGTTAGACGGAGCCTCAGAGTGCATTAGACAATTCAAAAAGGTAAATTAGCATAGAGTTTTCATTTTACATGCAATTGACGCATGAAATCTGGTCTCATAAAAATAGTTCTTGTCATTATAACTAAAACCAAACCCACTATCATCAAGCGGAATTAAGGCTCTGAATGACTTTATGGGACAAAATAGAACCTCCCCGTAAGTATGCCTAAGGTTGTAAATCTTTGCTGCATCTTTACCCCCTGGAATGGTGGTAGCCAACCAACTGGCCGAGTGCTTTAACAAGTGCGCCACCAAGGCTCCTCTATAATTAACTACAAGGATATTTTTATAAAAACAATACACTTCTGCAATCCCAGAAGTACGCAGTTCAAATCCACCAGATGCTCTGCTGGAGAAGGAGGGGACAATCTCCTCCTGGTACACGTAAAAATAATACAATAAAAATTTTAAAAAAAATACACTTCTGCTAAAACTAACTCGTTGCCGCCTAATCAGAACTGACCTATAGCAGACCGTCAAGGGGGTTTTCAGAGGCTGTAAATCGCACAGAGGAGGTTGCCTATCTTTCTCCTTCCAAGCAGCTGGCGGATTCAAACCACTGATCTTTGGATTAGCAGAGCACATTTTAACCTCAGTTAAAACATTGCACACGGCAGTTATTTTGGTGTCACCCCTTCTGACAGTGTCACCTGGTGCAGTTTGCATGCCCACTTGTTCCAATCTAGCTAGTGACACCACCGATGGGGGACGGGGTGAGGACGCCTAAGTCTGAACGCTGTGGACCAAGTCCCACGTGCGGACACGTGGTTGGAGCCAAACCGCCTTGGTGACCCTGAGAGACACCCAGCGCACTCTGCTCTGTGGCTCAGGGGCCCCGGCACTAAGGTGCGCGCTGCGGGCTCATTGAGCGCAGCGTGCGCGCCCACCCGCCCCACGCCGCGCCCCGCACAGCCGCGCGTGCGCGCACGCAGGCTCGGACGTTTGTCCCCTCCGGTCGGGTTCCCACGCTGCGGTTAGCGGCTCTCCCGCCCGCTGCCGGCGGAGAAGACGCTCCTTGGTGCCGCAGCGCTCACGCTGCCCCTGCAGTTTTTCCAACCTCCCCTCGGGTGTGGGGGCGCCGCCGCACAGTCCTCTTAGATGACCTCCTGGAGGGCGACCCGTGGGGGGTCTATGTGACCCCTGGCCCCTCGGAACAGGCTGGTGCTCCTCGCCCAGGCCGCTCCCACCTGCCTGTGCGGCGGCCAATGGGAACTAGGCCTGGTGATGTCATGTCCCGACCGGAGTCTGGTGACGAAAGTCCGAGGTCACCCATCAGGGAACCAGTGCAAGCCCACCCGTGAGGGTTCCGGAAGTTTCCACCGCGGCAGTGGAGTGCGGCCTCGCCCCACAGCTTTGTGCGTGGCACCATATGGGCCTCCCTCTTGGCTGACCCGGATTCACCTCTTCCACTCCACGGGGGTCTCTTACGTCCGCGGGGGGTCTCCCATTTCTACTCCTGATCTCTCATGGAAATCTTCATTCCTACAGGTGTTCCCTCATTCCCTTGGGGGTGCCCCGCATCACCTATTCTCCATCAGTGGTACCCCACCCCCTAAGGAGGTCCTAGTCTCACTTTCACGTGCTGGTCCTCCCACACCACCCTAGATTGTGTCGGGTCCAGGGACGCTCAATTTATTCTGGTCCCGAGGGCCAACATCCCCCAGCCCTGCTGCAACTTCCCGAGCCTCGACAGAGACTTGTCAGTGTATCCGTCCGTCCGTGCACGCCGGTCCCCACTCTCTGTGTCTGTCACTGCATGACCCTGCTGGTCTGCGTGTTGATCACTACGTGCTTCTCTCCGATTGTCCCCGTAGGGGTCTCTTCCGCCGCTAGGACGCTCTCTGTCGTGCCTGTCACTAGTGTCTGTCCGTCTGTCGGCGCCTGTCACCGGAGTCCGTCTGGGCCCCCGGGTCTCCCAGTGTCGGCTCCTAAGGAGGGAAGGGAGGGTGGCAGC